AAGCAGCCTTTCTTCCTGGCCTGATCAGAGTAATTGCTACTGTGGCATTGGACTACCTTTGACTTCTTTTCCTCTGGGATTTAAATATTCATGTTCAGATTGTCAGTTGAGGAATGGCCCAGGATGTCATGTTCGCTGTGACTCCTATGGATCTGCCCAACTACTCTTGGGCCCCAGATGCTGGGTTTGGCATTTTTTTCCTATCTGAACAAGAACAAGAACAAGCAATAACTCTTATTGCCATGGACAGATATGGACTGCAATTCTGCAGGGATCGAAATCAACTTCTGCAGAAACCGGAGATTACCTTCTGCAGATCAAATTCTGCAGGGATGAAAGGCCATTAAAAGAGTCTGGTCCGGGTATCTGATAGGTCTGGATGGAGTACGCTAAGGGAAATTTATGCCTTGCCTACTGTGGAGTCATGGCTGATTTGTGAAATATGGAGGTGTCCCAGGCAGTTACAACCCTTTGGTTTATGATGATAGATCATTTTTAAATATGTCAGGTGATCAAGAAAGAAAATACCAGATGCATTTGGATGAAACTGGACCCATTTCAGCTGGGGCTTTATCCAGTCTATGCTAATGAATCAGTTTTGTTTATCTTGGCAAATGAGTCATGCCAGAAATTGGATGTGGGGAGGGCTAATTCTCCTGTCTCCCTCAGTTGCTTTCAGTCCACTGACCATAGTATCCTTCTGGGCCATCTGTTGGTTTTGTTCTTTGGGGGCACAGTGGTTCCAGCCTTTCCTGTTGGATTATACCCAGAAGGTGATTCTGGGAGATTACTATTTGATTGGGTCGTTGATGGTGGGACAGGTGAGCAGAATGTGGGAGTGTAGTAACACCAGTATGTGATGAGCTCCATGTCTAGGGCTCCTTACCACCCAACTCCAAGGAAATAACCAGTATCCTTGAATGTTGCTTCATCTTGAAAAATGGTTGGCTGAAGGAAAACAAGCTGACAAAAATGGAGGTACAACTGATAAGGAGAAAGCTGGAATTGGGGAATATAGTGGAATTTGTTTGGGATGGGACTTAACTCTCCCAGAAAGAGCAGGTTTGGAGTTTGGGAGTGCTTGTTAACCCCCAGGTGATACTGGATTTACAGGTAATAGTTCCTGCAACATATAAGTGCTTTTCTACTCCTAAGCAAGGTAGAAACTCAGTTGGATTTCTAGCTCTCTCTGCTTACAAGCCCTTCAGCTGCCTTTTAGTCACTTGGGGAAATGTTTGTCAGAGTTTGGGGCTTGGCAGGAAGTGGTTTTTTGTGTATGTCTATGGGAAGGCAGAAGACTGAAACAGTGGAGAGGGAAAGAAAGTTAGATGCCTCCTACAGGGATGCTTGCAAAGATTGGTGATAAGAAATGCTGATAGTGTACAGCTAGTGAGAGGAGAAGAGCCATCATAAAGACAGGGAGTAATTGGGATGTTTGAAAGTGTATTTGAGATGTGTGTGTATGATTGTCAATAGTCCCTGGTAGAACCCTTCAGAACCCTGTTTGGAAAAACCCAACTTGGATTTGCACAAGTAGTTTCCAGGATCACAGAAACTTCTCCAGTGTCAGAACCCAGCTAACTAGAATCCTGTGTGGCTTCTAGGCTATGGAATACATTCCCTCTCTACAGTCATTCAGGTACTGTGTTATTGCTTATTTGTGAATGTGTTTTTCTGATCATGGGCCATATTCAAGAAGGTGAGGTTGGAGGAATGGCAAATGAGTGAATGACTTTTAGATTCTCACCATACTAACTCAATTCCTGCCTGTTGTAGCTGGGTTGGCTATGGGGGATTGCAAGAAGGGGATATTACAATGCAGTGGCCGTTGGTGGGGGCAATGGGATGTGATGGGATTTATGGAACTGTGCAGGACGGAAGATAGCAAGAGTCATCAGTTTTCATCTTTATCCTGGTTGAAGCATTGCCTTTTATGCCTTTGCTACCTTCACCATCAATGGAGAAGGATTCACTGGTGTACATGCAGTACCAGGCAAGACTGGAAAGACTGTGGGTGGGAAAAGTTATGGTTCTAGATGCATTCATTAAAGTGGCAGAGCTTAATGCATCTAAAACCATAACTCTGTGCTCCAGATCTTTCACTAAGAAGCTGCAGTTAGGTTAGCATTCCTTGGATGTAGCTCAACGTTCTCTCCCAAACCCAAAAGAGAATAGCACAATCTTGTACATGTCTTACAAAGCTCTACTGTGTAAGACTGCAACCTAAATATAACTCGTATTCCTTTGTACTATGAAGTTCATAGCTTAAGGGGAACTTCAGACTCTCTTAGTTTTGAAACTAGAAGGAATGAGGATTCCTTGGTTTTATTTTCAGACCGCGATGACCTCAGAACTCGTCAGAGGTGGTGCTTCTGGGAATGTATAAGGTAGGAGCTGCTTTGGACTCTTGGATTTACCTATTCCAAATGGCAGAAACTCTTCCCGGGTGATGAACTTGCCATCCTTGTCTAAAAAGTGATTGGGGTTGAATTCTTCAGGTGTTTCCCATTGTTCAGGATCAAAAAGGACAGAGCGGAGGTCTGGGATAATAAAAGCCCCCTGTAAAAAACAGAGATGGCTAAACAGAGCAGCTTCATAAGGTAAAAAGGAAAAACATTCAAAGCAAAATTGATGAAACATTTGCTCATTGCTTGCCTTTATGGACCCACATTTGTTCATTCCCAAAGCAGTTTCTCACAGCAGTGGCTACTCAACAGCTTGGCTTCCTTTCTCCCCTTCCTTCCATTGAAAGAAAGGGCTGGGTCCATAATTCTTTTTCACTCCAGGTTGTCCCAAGAAGGGGACATATCAGTGAAGAAACATGGGCACTCATGACTACAGTTCTGAACTTAAGTTCAGCCCTTAATCTCTTATCATCTTCCTAGAATAAATGTAAAACATTTAGGGTTCTAGCTTTAAAATCTGGTAGGTGTTTGAATTTAGACCCATAACCCCCCACTCACCCCCAAACAGTATTCTATTCTTGCCCATTTGATTTTGCACAAGTACGCTGGCAGTTCCTGAGCAGACAGCCTCTGTCCAAGGGCCACCTGGTGGTTTTCCTTCCATGCTGGACTCCTGGAGTGCAGCCTGAACAAGTTTCTCTACCTTTGGGATGTGGTAACCCCTCATCTTCACATCCTTT